ASSYTYMAMYYYTYMAAMMAAWTWAATTTTTTTWAAWTGYCCSAAAATTTGTTGAAATCTTCAGYCACATTTTCYTGGAATTCAGATTCCAAGAATTCAGTCTAGGAGGTCACTGTGGGCCAATCCCTGTCCCTCCAATTAAAGTCCAACACTGGAAATTCTCATTCCTCAACATCCCAAAAATACCTTTACATGTTTCTGACTGACACAAGATATCCAGAGCCACTGAAACTCCACCCAAAACCAGTCACCAGCACAAAAAAGGCCCCAATCCACAAAAATTATTCCATGGAAACAATCAAATTCCTGAGAAGGCACCAGCAGGGCTCGTTTTACTGCACATCTACACAATATTGTGTGACATGGGGACTTGGCTGATTTCTTTTCATGAGGAAATAATAATAAAGACAGTTGGTTTTTTTTTTTTTTAAAAAAAAAGGAGGAAAAAACTCTCTATGCCCTTAATAGAATCTGTTTCTGCAAAAGGAGAAAAAATGGCTGTCTGAGATGCTGAGACTTSTGATAATGCAGGAATTTATTCTTTTTTATTTCCTAATAAACTATTAGTTTTTCCAATATCCACTAAGCTAAAATGAATTAAACCATTTCCTTTGTCTGCTATGACTGAAGCTTTAGGTGTAATACACACAAAAGAAAAAAAAACTCTCTCTGACCAAATTACTTTCCATCAATATTGCTTTAGGAATTACAGGCAGACTTGAAAGATTTTACACTTGTTAAATATTTTAGTGCATTTAATATTACTCARAAGTCAGAAAGTGAGCCAAGCAAGCTGGGAGGCTTTAAGACATTGTCTTTAGATGTCAGATTGCAGTGTAAGTGGATGTAATTTCATTTTCTGATCCAAAATTGAAGTCGATAAATTCATCATTATTGGCAAGCAACAAGACACACATTSTTTCATGTAACCTAATCCATTATTCCTCCACCAAAAGCTATCAAAGGCTTGATTTGAACAAAGGGCTGGGTTTAATAGCTCTAATGTTTCTCCCTCCAGACACCTTTTTTTATTTCTGTAAAGTGTTATTTGTCTGGGATCCATAAGCACTTCACCAAAATCACAAGTTCTTAMAGCAAAAATACTCTGAAGGTTTGCTAAGCTTGAGAAGGGCAAGAATTCATGGAATCATGGAATGGTTTGGGGTGGAAAGGACCTTAAAGAGTTTTTAATTCCATGGGCAGGGACACCTCCCACTGTCCCAGGGTGCTCCAATGTCCAGCCTGGCCCTGGACACTGCCAGGGATCCAGGAATTCTCTGGGAATTCCATCCCAGGCAGGAATTCCCAATTCCCCAGATCCCACCCCAATCTCCCCTTTTCCACTCTGATCCATTCCCTGTGTCCTGTCCCTGCAGCCCTTGGCCCCAGTCCCTCTCCATCTTTCTTTAGGCCACAATGAGGTCACCCCAAAGCTTTTTTTCTCCAGGCTGAACAACCCCAACAGTCCCAGCCTGGCCCCATAGCAGAGCTGCTCCATCCCCTGATGAACTCTGTGGCCTCCTTTGGACTCACTCCAAGTCTTTCAATTGAAAAAAAACAAAACAAAACAAAACAAAAAAAAACAATAAAACCCACTTCCATGAAACAAAAACCAAATAAAGAGACAAAAAAATAAAATACACTATTTCCCACAAACAAAAGGAGAAACAAAATGAAGGCTCAAGATATGCAGCAGTGTGAATTAGCAGGGAGTTATTGGGGTGTTACAGCCCTCACTTCCAGTCCCCACGCCCAAAAATCCCAGGAGCTGCTCACAACACCATTCCTGTAACTCCCATTTCAGGATGAACAGAAAATACTACAAGGAAAGCAGGTAAAACATACAAGTGTTTTATCTAGGACAGTTCCTTCACCACAGTGAAATACAGGAACATCATGAGGTTACTCTTTAAAAAATTTAAAAACCAAGATTTGCTGTCCATGGTCCCTGCCCATTGCAGGAGGTTGGAATGAAAAGATCTTTAAAGTCCTTTCCAAAATCCAAACCACTCTGAGATTCTGGGATACAGACATCTCCAATTAAGCAACAGGAAACTTCGTGCCCCAGAAGAAAGAAAGATGTGAAATTCTGTTTACTCAGGTCTTGCTGNGAAACAAAAACCAAATAAAGAGACAAAAAAATAAAATACACTATTTCCCACAAACAAAAGGAGAAACAAAATGAAGGCTCAAGATATGCAGCAGTGTGAATTAGCAGGGAGTTATTGGGGTGTTACAGCCCTCACTTCCAGTCCCCACGCCCAAAAATCCCAGGAGCTGCTCACAACACCATTCCTGTAACTCCCATTTCAGGATGAACAGAAAATACTACAAGGAAAGCAGGTAAAACATACAAGTGTTTTATCTAGGACAGTTCCTTCACCACAGTGAAATACAGGAACATCATGAGGTTACTCTTTAAAAAATTTAAAAACCAAGATTTGCTGTCCATGGTCCCTGCCCATTGCAGGAGGTTGGAATGAAAAGATCTTTAAAGTCCTTTCCAAAATCCAAACCACTCTGAGATTCTGGGATACAGACATCTCCAATTAAGCAACAGGAAACTTCGTGCCCCAGAAGAAAGAAAGATGTGAAATTCTGTTTACTCAGGTCTTGCTGCAAAGCTGCCACAGGATTGTGTTAATCGTTGCTGAGTTTGCTGGGATTTTCTCTAAATATCAAGGCAAAAGGCTTTTGGGGAATTCTGCTCTCAGGAATATTTCTGGAGMACTGATAAGAGCCTTACTTGAACTTTTCAGGTTTCACAGAGTCCCAAAATCACCTTTGATTTGAAATGCAAGCAGAGGATTCCTGGCAGAGGTTTGATACACCTGAACAACCCTCAATAATGAAATCTAAGGAGCAGAGAAAGCCATCGATCTGTGGGAGTTTTACATCACTTATTTCCACCATTCCAGGGCAGGAAAACAGCACATTCCCCTTTCAATGTTTGCTAAAGTGAATTTCAGCAGAACCTCGCCAGCCTTGATCAGCATTGATTAAATAACCAARAATTTTCACTTCAGAACTCCTGACATATTTGGATATTTGCTTGTTGTAGGGTGCTTTGGAGTTTTTTTAAGTCTTTAACGGTGGATAACAGCATGGAAAGACAAGTTTAATTTGTGTTTTACACCTGAATGTCAGGCAGAAGAAAACAAAAAGGAATTTAATTCCTCTCTAAATCTACAAGCTAAAGAGGAGCCAAAAAGTTAATGTCAAAAAAATCATCTCTGCAAAAGGGCAATGAGTCCATTAGAACGTTCTGAAGGGCACATCTGATTTCTTTCTGCACATTAAAAGCAGAAAAACAGCAGCAAACCTGTACCAGATCCTCGGTGCTGTCTCCCACTGGGTGAGGAAGGTTCCTTCATCCGATCAATGAGGCTGTCAGACAACTGCAAAACACAACACCAAAGTCAGASTTTAGCTCMTTTTTTATCCCCATTTCCCCTCCAAAASAAATAAAACTTCATCAAAGTCAGAKTTTAGCTCCTTTTTTATCYCCAYTTCCCCTCTAAAAGAAATAAAACTTCATCAAAATAGAGCTTAGAGACTCTCTGAAGACATGACAGCTGCTCAAATTCAATCCCCATCCAAATCAAGTTTCTTTTTCCCCT